TTAAAATTTATTATTTATTATCGTTTCTAATTCAAATTTCCACATAACCTTTTGCAGGGTCGCGATGCCACGCCCTATTTGGAACGTAATCGTGTGGGCCGCGATGCCATCGACTCGGCTGCCGCCCTGACAGACATGGGCAAATACCTGTTCCGGGAGCGACGTCTGCCTGTCTACGACATCGCCGTGGCCATCACCAAGTGAGTAGAGGGCTGTGGCCGGCAGCCCGTCAAGTGGAGTATTTCTTGTGTTCTTGCAGATTCAGCAGCAGCAATGTTTTGTTAGCAGACCCCACCCCAGCCCCCTTTCTATCTCAGATTTACACTCTACCCAATCGAAACTCTCTCTCTATATATATATATAATGTCTACTTATGCGCAGGTATGATATGTGTCGCAGACGTAAAGGCGGCCGTTGCACCAAAGGCACAGCGGGTAAAAGAATCTATACCAAGCTAAATACAACAACAAACTAAATATCAAAGACCACACACATACACGCACACGCACACACACAATCAGACGTACAGTCGTACAAAATGTCATGTGGTTATTTAACATCTCAAAGCTGTTAGTTACAATAGTTTCTAGTTTGTTGCTACATTCTCGTAATTTGCACTAGAAAAAACACTTAACCAAGTTGCCTAAAACTGCGTGTGGGACTCAGCAAAAAAAACACACACACACCAATCACATTTACATACAAACATCACACACACAACTACACACACAGACATTGAGGTAAAAAAGAAACCGAATTTTAGTTAAAGGCGTTATTTCATCTAATTTGAGGAGCGGGTTGGCCATAAACCATAACCGGTTACAAGTCCACAAGTCAGCCTTAATGCTTGCTGCATTTGGCTAGCTACATTTAAACATACGTATCTGCATAAGTTAATTTTATTTGTTTTCTATTTGTATTTTGACATTGAAAGTGATTTAGTTATAAAACACACATATAATAATATTGGTTGAGAAATTTATTTAATTTTAAGGCCTAATTCTGGAAGGGTTGCACTTGTTGCAATTGTAACTTCGTAAGCATAACAGAAAAGTATAACAGTAGTGTATAACAGTAGTATAATAATTCTAGATAATTTTCTAATATTAAGGTGTAACTTTGAAAAGGGACTTTGTAATTTGCGACTGTTCAAGTAAAACAGTCAACAGTATAACAGTTTGGTTGAGGGTCCGTTAAAGCCACTGTTATGCATTCAATATTTACAGCATAAGTATTATTTATTGTATTAAATATGACTGTTATAATAATTTCATATAATAATTTATAAAATTCAGGACATTTTTGAGGTTTATTCTAACTTTACTATAACAATGCTGTATAACAGTTTGCGGTACCTCTACTGCTTACCTTACAGATTCTAGATAAAGTCATAATTTTACTGTTAGAACAGCAACTGTTAAGATATGACAGTTAAGTATAATAGTGAAGTATAACAGTGCGGTATGACAATTTTTATTTTAGTGCTATGATTCACTTTTAAGAATTTTTAAGCTCGCAGTCTTTAAATTTTTTATACTTTCACCCGAATTTGTATATTTTCCTTGAATATTTTTCCTATTTTCCAATCTCAAGAAAGGTTCGCCCCAACCCTTGACCCGACCCAATTAAATCAAATGTCTAATTGGCTCTCAAACCTTATGCTGTGCTGCTCTAACTGTAGTAATTGCTCTACCTCTCTCAGACGTCCAACAAATGGACACGCCCCACAAAAATAAAAACACAATCTAAATTCAATTGAATTTTTGTATATACATACATACATATATTGAGGCTCCGACATTTTAATTAAGAAGAAACGAATCTATACTCAAATCTACGCATTTTGAAACATTTTCGCCCGCAGACTTGATATGTGCCGTCGTACCTCCGCATTTGGTGAATGTAATCGCGGTACCGCAGGTAAAAATTATAAAAACAACAAAAACAACTATTTTGTTCGCTGACAATGTACAGATAAATGCGAAAATAGCAACAAAATTAAATCAAAATAAATAAATAAAAATAGCATTAACATTAAAGGCAGCAACCGCCGCAGCCGAACCTAAAGCGTCGCTCCATCATCTCAAAAATCAAGTCAATTTAATTGAATTTCATGCACGTCTCTCTCTCTCTCTCTCTCTCTCTCTCTCTCTCTCTCTCTTTGTCTATATGTTTATTTCTGTTACCTGTATTTTCTGTATTGTCTCTCTCAACTCTATTCACATTAAGTGTGAACTTTGTATAATTTAAATGTTTTGTGTTTCGCACGTCTTTTGTACAGCAACAAGAACCAAAAACAACTCCGAAATAGGAGTTCAGCTGCGAGCAATGCGTCTCAAACTGTACAGCTGCATTATGTTCTCGCTCTCTCTCTCTCTCTCCACTGTCTTTATATATATTTTTCTTCTATATGTATGTTTATATACATATCTGTTTGTATTTATATTTTTTTTTCGCTGAACTTTTGCTTGAAATGAATTGTTTTCTTCTCTTCTTTCAGTCTGAACAATTGTTTTTTAACCACTGTGCATACGCATGTGACTGCATTCTAATGCCCTAGCACATGCATCTGTTGTGATATATATCAATTTCCAAATGATAAAATATATATTTTAAGTTTTACTTTTCAGGCAGAAATAATCGAAGCTGTRAATTTTATGTATATATAAAACAAAATGCTGAAGATCTCTAGCTGAATATATCTATAAAAAAAATCTATTATCTATAAAAAAAATGCTTTAGATCTCTAGATCTTTAAGATAATATTATAATATATATTAC